CTTGTGTATGGTGCTCTATAATTTCCGAAATACTAGTAAGAATGCTTTTCCTTATCTATAGGATTAAAGTTTCATCCAAAATACTAAATAACAAATACTAGCACCATAAATGATATTATTTGGTTATTTTCAGAAATAAACAGTTTTCCTGGAAACTTTGAAAGTAACAGTTCTTTAAAGCCGAGGAAATGAAAGTTAGAGCTGGAGCACGTGCTGGCACTTTTGCAGCTCCAACCTTTTGAAAGTCACTAATTCGTATGCCTTTAAACTCGTTCTTCCCTTTTTTTCCTTGATATATATTGTACTAGTAATTTTGCTAGTTGTGTCGTAGTTGTATATACTTTACTTGTGCCTTTAAACTCATTCTTTCCCTTTAAACTTTAAGGTCTTTTTTTTTTTGGAATGTGGGTTTTTCCTTTCCTTCATTTGTCTATGAAAACAAATTGATTTTTGTGATTTTTTTATGTTTAAAGGAGTCTAGTGCTCTTTTACCGTACCATGTCTTACAGCTATGTTTTTTTCTTCTTTTGATTTATAAGAGGAGTAGAGGGCATACGCTACCTGCTGCTACGTACATACCGCACGAACATGTAATGTTGAAGTTGAATTTGAAATTACAAAAACTTGTAGCAACCTGTGCTGGCTTCTAGCCTTCTACGAAGGCATATGCTCATAGATTCCATGCAACGACTTCTATGAGAGTCTCGATCAGACTTGGAAGTTGATGCCGCCACAGGCACGGCACGCCTAAGAACAATTCTAAGAGACTATTTTTTTTCTTCTAATTTATAGGAACAGAGATTTTAGTAAAAAATATCATTCAACAACCTCTTTATTAATTGGATTTCCAAATATAGACCGAATTTCTCGCTAACTAAAGATGACGAGCGAGGATAACTCTCTATAGTGCAAACAAGATATATAGAAAGCGATTTTTACTCTCTCCAAATAATGATTTAGAGAGTAAATTCTTTAGAACGACTCTTGGAGAAGCTCTAAGAGATGACCAGAGGGTGTAGTGATGATATACTACATTTGATTGTTAGAAAGAGATCAAACTCAAACATGTTGGTCTTGTTGCAAATATCCTTGACCGCAAAATGTTGAACAAGTATATACAATTAAAACCCTAGAACAAAAGGCTTGGCACAACTAGCATGGCACGTAACTGTGATTTTTCTAAAAGAGTCGAGTATAGGTGGGTGTATGTAAAAAAAACATCTTATATATGTCATAAAAATCTTATATTAAAATCCGAGTGTCATGTGGGATGAAAGTGTAATAGGAATTTCATCGGTATTAAATAGGTTAACACATTAGAAAAAATAGTGATTCAATATAGCTTTAATGAAAAGGGAGGGACACAGTTTTGTAGGGATGAAAGTTGCCAGCGTTGTTTCCAGTGGCAAAGCTAGAGCAAATCTGAGGAGATGCAGTTGCCTTGTATATGCGTAGACTTAAGTCATAACTATGGTGAAAATCTAACCCTATTCACTAGTATTAAATTTTTTTGTTCCACAACAATGCACGTAGCTTCGCCACTGGTTGTTTCTACGGCCTTGAAAATGGGATGAAACCCACATTCAGGATTGTTTCATCTCTTTCGATTTTGTGTGGTTAGCTACGAGAAAAGCATTGGTGCAGTTTTCATTTACAATGTTTATTTGTCGATGTGAAATTTCAAACATAAGAGATGGACATGTATGGTAAATCATGTTTATTTGCCCATGTGACCATGTTCTAATACACTAATACTTATCGCAATATCAAATGGCTACAAAGTTCACATGACACATTCGATCATAGCTCAATGCAAGAATTAAGGGCACGTTTGGCAGGGTTTTAGATTCTTGTATAAACATTTTGGATCTAGAATTTGTTCAGAAATGTTTCTTTGATGAACTAGAATCACTTCATAGAACCGTTTGGCTAGCTCGTTGGACTCTTTTAAATTGAATTAGAATTAGGAGAAATCAAGTTTTTGGCGTTTCTCTTTCTATGGCGTTTGACAACAATTCTATTGACGACCTAAAACATTTCTCACTACTAGCTAACATATGACATGATAAAATGAAACTGTGCATTAAGAGAGTCTATTTCATTACCAGTTTCCAAGACTTGATAGTCTTGAAAACTAGGGCATGAAACCTTCCACTGAGACCGAGCCTTAGGGCATGTGCAATAAATATGGATGAAGTCCATATAAGCGGGTATCAGTTGTTGTGTCCAAGCCCACAATGCTAAAGACTAGAGTAGTCTATAAGATGGCCCCACACCAAAATAGAAAATCTAAGCTCACTCCTCTTCATATCGCGCTCGTTCGCATCGACAAGGCGGCAGTGGGCTCGACGCCCCTTTTTCATAGCAGTCGTAGTGGATCAGAGCCCCTCTCCCGGATCTCAGCGGGAGGATCCCTTCTTTCTAGCGCCCCCTCCTCTCGATGCTCGGGGCGGCACCCATCTTCCCCGCCTTCTTCGTTGGCTGTGGTGGTGCGTCGCGGTGCCTTGGAGTGGCTCTTTTGCTGGCCTTCTCCGGGCCTCCAGGTGTTCTTTTCTAGTCTTCTCGGGTAGCTAGGATAGCGCCTCCTCTTCCTGTCATTCTCCAGTGGCCGCAGTAGCAGCCCTCTTCCTGGCATTTGGTGGTGTTGCCTCTCTTTCCGACTGCGCATGTTCCGCGTGCCTACTTCCTCAATCCTTGGCTGTTATTTAAGCTCTATATATGCGTAGCAAGAGAGATAATATTTTTCATTTCTTATGGGTAGGCCATATGTATATGAATATCTACAACTATAGACTGCTATAGGACTTTTGTGTCTCACGTTGTGGCTGCCCTTAGCCCTTAGGGTCTGTTTGGTTTCGAGGATGGGCAGGGCCAGGATAGGACGACCCTGACTCCAGGACTATTTGGTTCGGAGGTCTCCGGGGGCAAGGACATCCCTTGTGTGAATATTCTCGCAAGATCCGGGCTCGCTTCGCCCCTAAAAAATGAGCAGACATGACCATCGTCGGTGGGACGATTGTCGCACGCGCACATGCGAAGAACGAGAAGAGCAGTGGATGCTTGCCACAGTTGAGGAAGAAAGAAGAAGCAGGGACTCACTGGAGTTGCTGAAGTCGAGGAAGAAGCGGGCGAGCGAGCCCCGCCCCGCCGCCGTGCGGGTGAGCGCCCCCCCGCCCTATTGCTGGCGAGTGCGTGGGCGAGCTCCTGTATCCATCCTTAAAGAAGGAAAGAGGAAGGAAAAAAGGACTAGCACGTCGACCCCATCTGTTACGCCACTTAGGCCTCGTTCGGCTTGCTGAATCTTGGCTGAAACTGGCTGAATTGTTGTGAGAGAAAAACACTGCTCCGACTGAAAAAATAAGCCGAACAAGCCGAATATGGGGTAAGCCGAACGGGGCCTAGTGCCCTCAAACCAAAAAAAAAAGGTTGATTCTGTCCCTTCTCAACCGAACAAAAAATTAAGTCATCCCATCACACGTATAAGACACAGGCCATCCCACCTATTTTGGCTTCTAACCAAACATTATCTCGAAATCTAAGATTGTCTCCAATGAGGAGACCCACACCCATTTTTGCGTCCGGCACAATTCTTTGCCTTCCCGAAAACATCCTCCAATAAGGCACCCATACACCGACGCATTTTGCCTGCTCCCCCGAACGCCAGGCAAAAAAGCGTCCCCTCTCTCTCGCTACGCAAATCGTAGAGGCGGAGCTTGCCCGAGCTCGCCCGCGCCGTGGCCGAGGCGGAGCTCGGGGCGGGGGCGGAGCTCGCCCGCGCCCGCCACCGGTGTTTCAAGATGGCAACGGGTACGTACCCGATGGGTACTCGCCACCCGTACCCGCACCCGCCAGATCAAAATCTTACCCGCCGAGTTACTCGTGCCGCAAAGCGGTAGAAAATTCATTCCATACCGCACCCGACGGGTATTCTTACCCGACGGGTAATTCTTACCCGACAATATACCCGAGTTCACACACACCAAAATATAATAGCTTCGACAAAACAAATCAACAATAGAAGAGCAAAAAAACGATGTAAATATATTTGGTGGAGTGTAGTGAGGATGAGGATTAGGGTGCGAGAGAGTTCTAGAATATATATACTCATATGCTTATATGGGCCAAATATGGGCTATATGCTTATATGGGCTAAAATTGCGAGAGGTTGGATATTATTTATGCGGGTTTTTTTACCATGGTATGGGTAGTATACACCCACAATTGCATTACCGATACCCGATGGGTACAAGAATTCGTCCAATAACGCATCTGCTGGTGTAAAATGTCTTCCATACCCGCCTCCTTATCGGGGTAAACCCGTCGGGTACTCGGGTTTCGGGTACCCGTTGCCATCTTGACCGGTGTTGGAGGAGGAGCGCGTGACGAGGCGGGGAGCGGGGCGCGGCCGTCGGGGAGCGGGGATCCGGGGTCCTCCGTGCCGGGGCGGAGCTCGCCCGCGCCCGCCGCCGGTGTTGGAGGAGGAGCGCGCGTGGAGGCGTGGAGGCCGGAGACGACGACGAGGATGTCCTTGGCGCGGTCCTGGACGGATGAGGCGGCGACCTCCGGCGGATTTAGGAGCTTTTGCGTTTGCGGTCGGTTGGAGAGGCTCACTTTTACATGGTGACTTTTTTTCACTGTGCCGGACCCAAACCGAGATATAGGTGTTGTATTTGGGTCTCATGGTTGGAGTCAGTCTAAGTAGCATATATTTGGGTAGTTTTCCATTTGTGTAATTGTGTTCGTCCCTGTTCCGTGCAACAAAAATTCGGAGAAAGATAGGGGCTGAATTGCGAGAAGTGGAGCATCGAATCCTGGCCCAGGCGAGCAGCTTCCCGTCTCCCCGTCTCATCTCATGTCATGACTCAGCACCACGTCCCCCATCCTCCTCTGTCCTCGTATAAAGCGCCGCAGCCCACGACGGCGACGCCGCCCATGGCAGCTGGAGCACCAGCACACGCCGCTGCCCCGGCTCCCCGCCGCGAACCCTAGCCGACCGCCCCATGGCCGCTGAGTCCTGCGGCAGCCGCGGCGCCTCGCCCCCGCCGCCTCCCTCCGCTGGCGGCGCGGCCGGGAGGCGCCGCAAGGCGGAGGCCTACGCCGAGGTGCTCCGCCGCATCCGCGCTGGCGCCGGCGGCTACAGTGCTGCTCGCCCCGGGTTGGAGGACGAGCTCTGGGCCCATTTCCAAGGCCTACCCGCCAGGTTCAAAACTCTCTCCTCTCTCTCTCTCCCTCCTGCATGTAGGATGTGTTGTGTTCGCTAGTCTGCTTGCTAGCACCTCTGCGAAATTTCGATGCGTCGCGCTTGATGCGTAGGATTGTCCTCGCTCGATTTTCTTCCTTTTAGCTATTTGCGGCTGGGGTCCAATCGATCGTACAGGACCCGATCCACGCCGCAGCTGCTCGTCGCCGCTGTAGCTAAAGCTAAGCCTGCCGCCTTTTTGTCGTCGATAGGATTTGTGTTCGCGTTCGCCGTGGCGCTTGTCGGCCCACCACGGGCCATGGCATCTTTGTTGGTTATACGTAAATTCGCACGGATCAAGATGCAAACATAAAGCAGCTAACCGGTTTCTCTTTCTCGGTATTAATATATGCTAATCTTCTTGGTTAACATGCAAGCTTAACTAGTGCTAATGGTTCCCATTACTAGATCTAGATTAACACAACCCAACTAGACAGTACATGCAGTAGCAGTACAACTCCTTGTAGTACAACAACTTGCTTTTTCTTTTCTCTTTTCACTTTAATCTCGTGAATACTAGTTTAATTCCTCTTCGAGAAGGAACACACAATGCCAGTCTGGTTGGATCGACGGCGCAATGCTTAGAAGTAGTCTATTTTATATGTCTTTGACGTGTTGCTAAAATTTACATTGTTCGTTGCATTAGTCGGCACACACTATCTACTCATGGAGATTTCTCCTTCTCATGTGAATGAAAACTGTACACATTTTTGTATACCTTTTGTTAACCGTAGGCTGTGTCTGTAAACATCAAACAGTGGTTGCTTGGGTATTCCACTATTCCTCTTGATAATTACCATTTCAAATTTGTGATATGTTATTTCTTGTTTTCTTCTTTACTTGTCACGATCCCATTTGCTTCTTTAGCATGTCTTGGCCTGTTTATCACAGCGCTGCAAGAACATGAAAAATCAAGGCCATTTGCAAGAGCACTGTAGCATTATTGTATACTTGTATATGCACATCTTGTTGTAGCTCCTTGTAGCAAGAACTAGCACTGATTTAAATAATTGCATGCCACTGAAATCTAATACTAGGCATGGTTGACTTCGTGGAATGAACAGATATGCTTTGGATGTCAACGTTGAGCGCGTTGAAGATGTCTTACTGCACAAGAAATTGCTCGAGCAAGCCCATGAACCTATGAATGGTCTGGTCTTTGATGTTCGTCCTTCACAGGTGATTAATTCATGCATCATATATCTACTTTATTTATTCATACTGACTAGGCATCAATTAGTGGCCATTATTCTCCCAATCTATTTCTACGAAATAACCATAAGCTCTTCCTTGAAACATTCTTAAAATAACTCCTATCTAGTTTAAGCTCTCAAATTCACACAATTGCACAATCACCTTCCCTTTCTCTTTTGCTGCACATACTGTTAGTTATTATGTTACAGTGCGCCATTGTCAAAACGAACTTCATAAAGGCTGCTTTCTACTTTATTCCATTGCATTGCATGGTTACATACTCAGGCTTTTGCAATGGTCTTTGGTGGCAGCTATGTCTTTTCATTTTATGTTTAATAACTGCTTTTGCAATAAAAGTGTGCCCAGTTTAAGCTTCTCTTGTCTTGTCTCTTGTGAAATGAATATGCATGAAGGGCTGGATACTAATCAGTTTTAGAATAAAAAAGTACAGTACGCGCTTATTCAAAGATGAGGTGATAGATGATATCTCATATATTTCTTTTTATTTATCTTGTTTTGGCATTTGTTTATCTGATTCTAATGTTCTCAAAGTAGATCACACATTCATAGTTTGCTATTTTTTTGTGTGTTTTTATCAAGAAACTGAGGGAGATAACATGCACAATTGCAGACTCTTTTCTTAGTTCTTACTCAATTAGTTGATGTGTCTGTGGAGATGTGAAGTACATGTTTCCGTAGTACTGTAGTTTGAAATTGAAACGCTATAAGACTTGGTCAGGGATTTATTAGTTTTTATTGTATTTGATGGTAATAGCATTATCTTACGGTGGGGGAGAACTTTGAATTTGAGGTTGAGCCAGTGAATCTCTTAACTGGATAGTTGTAATGTTAGAGTATGGTAGGGGCCTATTGGGCCTGGGCTGGATGTATAGCCCATTAGTGTTAGGGTTAATTAGAGATAAGGGTCGCTTGCTTAGGAGTCAAGTAAACCTCTCTATATAAGGAGAGGAGATGTATCAATCTAATCAGGCAAGAATTAAGAAGGAAAACCCTTCTCTCTTGCCCGGCCGTGGGCAAACGCCCCGCGGCCGGCTCTCTCTCACCCTCGCATCCATAGACGTGAACAGTACCGCGACACTGTATCGCCGCGGGTACTGTAGCGCGTCAGCCGCCGTCGCTCCCCTCGGCTCTCTCCTCTCAATCCTAGCAGCCACATAACATGTAATCCTTGGAAACTCATCCTTTTCGTATAAATAGATAGCTATTGATAATGTGAACTTTTTAGCATATATACTCTAGTATATTTCATTAGTATGTTATTTAACTCAACTAAATGAACTGCACCTCTATGTTGACAATGATTTAGTTTTAGGTTGTTACTCTGGAGGAAAGCACTGGATTTGAGTCCGCAACTTCCTTTAAGCAAGAAGAACAAGATCCCCAGTGCTCAGTATTCACATCAAGAGATCAAAGGTGATCTGGTCTAGTCTTCTTTCATATTATACAGTCCACTTGCAAGTTGCAAGCTTGTTAGCTTGTGTCCTTGGAATAAATTTTTAATGCTTCTTATGGTATAGTTTAACACTTCTGCAGTTTTTATTTTTATTTTTTTTACTCTGTGTTTCATTAGAGGTGTTGCATTTACGGGGCTTATGTAGGTATTAGTATGTTTTGTTAATGATAAATTAAGGGACAATATTTTCTGATGCATAATACTGTTACAGGACTTTGCATGAAATTATATTTGCATGTGACGATAAGCCAAAGCTTCTTAGTCAGGTAAACCACCAACATCTTGTCTGGGAACTGAATAGCATTTTGATTTGATTGCATTCTCATGTGGTCACTTGATGTAAGTTATTGTATGGCCTCAAAAGTTGTGGAAACCTCAATCAGCAACGGAGCTGCTAACACGAGTGATGTTTTACTTAGGCCCCATCTGGCACATCTCCAGCTCCAAGTTCACCTTTAGATCTGGAGTTTGTATACTAAGATTAAGAACCTTGAAACTCTTTTTTTTTAATAGAAAGAAAATGAATCCAACAATTCAGGTGTATCCACAGCTCCACAAATTTATAGAGCTAGAAATACCTAGTACCAAATCATCCACAGATTTCTTGGAGCTGGGCTCTGCCAAACAGGGCCTTAATGTGTTTGATTGTGAGATATCTCCTGCATATCTAAGCTACAGCCAGTCTGTGGCCTGTTTATACAGTAGTTTTCCTGTGATTCCTCATCTGTTCTGCATACTTTTGCTTGACATATTCAGCCAATTTCATTTCTTTTTTCCCTTAAAATTCTGCTTTGATGTAGCATCGACATGTTTCAAATCTTGTTTTGTCTTATATCTACATGTTTCAAATCTTGTTTTGTCTTGTATCTGTTCCTTATTCTTTGGATGCTGTAGATCCTTTACTTGTAGTATAGTTTCAGTAGGGTGCTAAACTGCTAACCTACTCTTTTTTTTAAAGAACTGTTTATACACTAAGGCTATACACTTGATCAGGTGGTTCTGTTTTCTGTTCTTAAAGATTCCACTTTGTTTTACTCTTGGTTACTTTCTTGTTTTGAGACAGCTATAAATGTATATATCTTTTGTTTTATTCAGTTAACCTCTCTTCTTGGGGAGCTTGGTCTTAATATCCAAGAAGCACATGCATATTCGACGAGTGACGGCTATTCCTTGGACATCTTTGTTGTTGATGGCTGGAAGTATGAGGTAATTCAGCATTTCTGGTGGATAAAAATTGATCAATCATTGTTTGACAGAGCCACATAAACCTACTGCAAATCCTTTAAGATGAGATCATGTGAACTGAAGCTGCAATGCTACCAATGTACTGATTTTGTGTAGATATAAACAAATTTTGGGGTCTGAATCTGTTCTTTGTGTGATGATGCAAACTTTCGGTACTGTACTCCAGATACAATTGGGCTCAGAATCAGATAGCATATTATATGTTATTCCTATTGTTTCACCAATCTTGATTTTTGCATATTCTAAAACTATTCTACTATAATTTGACATGTGCCTACACATGATTGAACAGTGACACTAAAAAATATAAAATTCAAGTGATGATGATTCCAGCTCATTAAAGTATCTTTTCTCGGCTTATTCTAACACCTTTTTAAGTCTTACATGATGTGCCACAACCAGTACCTGTCATAGTTTGTGTGACAGACTGACAGCATGCCTATAGGCACAATGAAAGCGATAAAAAAGCTTGCCTATTCAGTTAACTTAATGCCTCAGGGCCTTTAGTTTATTTTGAAAAATTAGCATTTCCTTTTTAGCTGTCATAATTTTTTTTGAATGATAGCTGTCATAATTTTTCATGGTTATCACTGGCTACTAGGTACCTTGGATTAGGGTGGGTTTTACTAAGGGGATCTTGTCTCTTGTAATTGTAACGAGCGGTATCTTCATTGGCTTTCCTTTTCCTTTTTAACCAAAGGCATGTATCCTTTTAGTTAGCAAAGAGATGAAGAGCAAAAGAAAAAACAACAACACAGGAGTGCTGGCAGATTCAACAGAGGCGGTGAATGGGAAAAGGCAGATTTTGTAGCTGAAGCATACATCTTGTTCTTGTGTTGGGGGCAGTTAGAGTTATGACCTTTTGCATGTGCAGTTGTGCATGAGCTCAGGATGTGCAAAGGAACATATTTTTGGTTGCTGTTAGTAATTAGTTATTTTGTTATCCTCCACACGATATAGATGAAAGCTGGACGGTGGTAGGTAGATCCTGGTTTATTGCCTAAACAGAATCATCTTTCCACTTGACTCACCCTTCTGCCAAACACTCCTCTTGACAGTCCTCCATTCCGTTTCATTGAAACAATTCAATGTTGTTTCTTGATGAACTAATCTCAGAATTCTTTGCAGAAATTGAATGTTTTACAAATTTTAGGGTGGTGATCATTTCGAAAATATTGATTTGAAGACGCATGATTTTAGTAGTTGTTTCCAGATCCATCTAGCTACCAGAAATCACTGGATCGCACACAACAGTGGGCACCAATATGGATGGTAGATGCTGGAAGAGTATGCTGGTCATCTTAAGCCACATAGTTAGCCTAATTAGCCTAATCCTGACCTCGAGCTTTGTCACTGTAAGAAGGTTTCAGAGTTGTAGCAAACTTTGTAACTGCAGTGCCGGCTTGAATTTGAAAATGTATATATGTTTGTCCTTTTAATGTTTGTTCGCTTCTGTTTCATCCTCCTTTTCCAACAATGTCCAGGCTGACATTCTCCGATGCGCATTGAGGGAAGGCGTTGATAAAATAAAGGTAAGATGTGACAGACTAATGCTTTAACTGGAATATAATCAAGCCCTTCAGATTTATATTTATATCATATGATAAGTCTCGTGTTAGTTGCTTTTGTACAACAGAATTAGTGTATTGTAGGTATAACTTCATGTTTACAATTTGTTACCTTTCTCTTACTATTTTAATACTTATATTGTCCTTAAAAGTAGTGGTTGCACTTTTTAGTGTTGCTAAACAGTAAGAATTGTTTCTGTCAAAATTAACAAGTGGTAAATTTAGTGCCATTAACCTTGAAGAGCAGCTTGAATAAGACAGCATCAGCACCACTGTACCTGATGCTGCTCGTGTCGTTTATCACCCAAAGACTTTCTGTGCATTATGGTCACCTTCTTAGTCCTTTTTTTAAATGCTAATGCAGTACAGAGCATGGCCGTTGGTACCGTCGATGTCTGCTAGGATGGATCACCAACCATTGGAGGTTTCTCCTTCATCTGACTTTGTCCAGATACCAGCTGATGCAGCTGATGTTTGGGAAGTCGATCCCAGGCTTCTCAAATTTGAACAAAAATTAGCGTCTGGATCATTTGGTGATCTGTATGTTCAAGAAGCAAATTGAAGTAGCAACTCTTATTTATATGTAACTGACTTATTTGATGTGCCATCAGATACCATGGGACGTACTGTAGCCAAGATGTAGCTATCAAAGTACTCAAGCCTGAGCGGGTTAGCGTTGATATGCTGCGTGAGTTTGCACAGGAAGTATATATAATGAAGTGAGTGATGAACTTTACTTATGCTTGGACTGAGAAAATGGTGTAATATTCACTTCACAATACAGCATTTTAGAATGATGTTCCATCATTTATTTATGACTGCCCAGGCAAATTGAATTTGCTGTAATGACTTTGCGTATGGGAAGTAACATGATGCTAATTTAAGATTTTTTTGTTTCATAGTTCTGCAATTTGAGTTTACTGACCATGGGTTTAAGGAATGATTTATTGTTTGACATCATGTTCGATTACAACTTAATAACATAGTGTATCAAAACCTTGAATAGCATTAGCCTGTTATTTTTAGTCTTGATGATCAGACACTTACTGAACTTGAGACAATCATTATGCTCCAGCTCTCTTTTCAAAATTGATTGTGCATGCTGTCACTCTTATTGATATATTCAGTCACCTTCTCCAACCATGTTTAATCCTAATTTCACAGAAAGGTTCGTCACAAAAATGTTGTGCAATTTATCGGTGCATGCACAAGACCTCCTGTTTTGTGTATCGTTACAGGTATACAGTCCTGACACATAATAATACCTCCTATCTCCACAGTGCCGCGTAGATTCTCTTGCATTTCTACTTTGGAGCATCACTCGTATTAGCTGTTTATTCCTTTTCTTTTTGTTATTGCCAGAATTCATGCATGGAGGCAGTATTTTTGACTTCCTTTACAATAGACGAGGAAGTTTTCAGCTCCCGGATGTGATTAGAATCGCATCTGATGTGTCCAAGGGAATGAATTACTTGCATCAGATTAATATTGTTCATAGGGACTTGAAGACTGCAAATCTTCTTATGGATGATCAGGTACTTAACTGCACATCGTAGTATTAACCTTTGTTACAGCATCTATCTCGGGAAAATAGAAGTCTACTACCATACTCACTTCTCAGGATAGTGGAATCTTAGCTTTAGATGCAAAGGTTATTTTGGTCCTGAACTCCTGATATCCTGACATCTTGAAGATAATTCTGCACTAGCTTAGACTGCTGTGAAATTGAATAAAAATACGGTCAACCTCCATGGCCAATTGCATATGGTACCACAAATCAACAGCTTCACCGGAGCTCATGCCTATAAGAAATTGTTCTGAAGCCACCTGCTCCACCCTTCCCCAGACCCCGCACAGAGCGGGAGCTCTCTGCACTGGGTACGCCCCCCACCTGCTCCACCCTCCAGCAGTCCTATTTTTGTGCACACCTGTCTGTCTAATTATACTGCAAGTCTGCAATTGCTTCAACATAGGCGTGCATGCATCGTCAGTCACTCAGTCTTTTCTCGTCTTTTCTCGAACCAATCAATGGACCCGTTGTATCTGTGAACTATGACATTTGTTTTTGAGAATGAATCATGATCATGTTGAACTTGTTATGTTTGCTTGCCCTTGGGCACTATATGTGTTTCAAATAAATAAGCATGTGTTTACTCAGATTATTGTGCCATTTGAATGATATAATCTTGCAGGTTGTCAAGGTTGCAGACTTTGGGGTTGCAAGGGTTAAAGACCAGTCAGGAGTTATGACCGCAGAAACAGGAACCTACAGATGGATGGCCCCTGAGGTTGATTTTGCCAAATTGCCTGATATTAAACATTGAGAAACTCTTAGCATTAAAAGCAGCGTATGTGAAATTCGTTTCAGTGCTTAAATGTGGTTTCATATCAAGCGGATTACATACTAGTCGTGCAGACTGTAGACAGAATGCCCAAAATGCGAGAATTTATCCCCCTAGACCACCTTGATAGTTTGCTTGAAGCAGCAAATTTGTTGGGGCCTCATAGTGTTATACCTAAAAGTTTACTTAGTTCCCAATGTCACTTTTCAAGAAATCAAGATTAAAATTTTCTTTGAGCAGCTTGCGATGCCTCAGCTATTGTGACATGACTATTTTTCTTTATTTTGCGCGTTCTACATCAATGCTACTTCACCAAGCCAACAATTCTAGCATGCCTGAATATGATTTGTTTACTTGGTCTGCCGTGGGTATTACTGTTCCTGTATTTAAGCTAAAGTACCATAAAGAAAATTCTTATTATTACCAGAAAGTACTTTGAAAAAAAATCCAAGATCCTTTTGTGGGATCAAACTGCTTATTTTAGCTTTAGAGTAAACTAGTGGCCTGTCAAACTGAAGGTAGTCCAGCAAATGTTTATCATTTATTTTTAGTTTACCTTCAGTAATACATAACAGATAATTTATTGGTATGTTGGGGGTTAATGAGCTCCTTAGGTGGTATCTTCACAGTGCACTTCAGATTTGTGCCACATAAGAGTCAAAACTAGCTTTTGTTTATGCAGCACCTTGTTTTACTAAAAAAAAAATATATATGTGCAGGTCATTGAGCACTTGCCTTATGATCATAGAGCGGATGTTTTCAGTTTTGGGATAGTTCTTTGGGAGCTGCTGACTGCAAAGGTTATTTTGTCTCACCATCATTCTGTTTCACTGGCTTAATGGTAGAGCAGAAATGTGGTTTTGCTAATTGTTGAGTTGGCCTTTTCTTTTCAGCTTCCATACGAAGACATGACACCTCTTCAGGCAGCAGTTGCCGTTGTTCAAAAGGTATCATAGTTTAACACATCAGTTACTGTGGTTTGTCACAAAATAAGAACAGTAGCACATCTTGCTGTTATCATACTACATCAATTTGCTGAAAGGAAAAGGTTCCAAATAAAAAGGCGAACGCTGAATTGTAGATCCATTTGAAGTCCTGGAATCTTTTCTGGTGCTTGGTGGAAGTGAATTGCTCCTTGTGAAACTGCTGCCGAGTTCCTGTTTTGAATCCTAATCTGCCAGACCCGATAACTCTGCATGCAGGATCTGAGGCCTACTATTGCTGCTGATACTCATCCTATGCTCGCTGAACTCCTTCAGAGATGCTGGCAGAAAGATCCTGCTCTAAGACCAACCTTTGCAGAGATTGTGGATATACTGAACTCTATAAAGGAGGTGTGTGTTCACACAAAAACTACGTGCGTTTCCCCCATTTTTTTATTTTATTTTGTTCTATGAGTTTTTTCACACGCTTCATTGCCAGGTGGTTCAGAGTTCTGTGCATCACAAGAGGCATCCAGGTCGATCTCACTCCGGGAGGAGACGAGGCTGTTGATGCGCCAGTTTTGTGTAGTGTTGCACGCCCTTTGCATTTTCTTTTCGTAGTCGAGTGATGACTTCAGAATACGGCCAGAATAGTTTACTATGTTCATTCCGAGAGGTTTTCTTACAACTTTTTTTTTTTAATTTTTGGCTAACGCTTAAAGGCCTTTCCACTTTTAAAAGCTTAGAGGGGCATATCCACGTTTACATTTGGGCTGCATCTGTATTTTGTACTCTCTTCTTTTTTTTATTAAGTTGCACAGGCAAATAAGATTCAAATGGAAAACTTTAACCAATATACATTAAGTATCTGTAAATTAAACCATGTAAATTTAGTATCACTAGAATCACATTTGACAACACTTTTGTATATTGTTAATTTTATGTTCATGAGTGTTATAATATACATCATCTGTCTCTAAATATCTGTCGTTTTCGTTTTCTGATAAACAAATTTAATTAAATATATATTAAAAATATTAACGGGGGACACATGCTCGTCGACCGGATATGAGATGTGGATATGAGATGTACACGATAGCAGCATCGCCGAGAAGGTCGCTGGTGATGTGGAAATATGTACTCGCCGGGCCCTGCACTAAGCCCGAGGTTGTAACACCCTAAATTTTTTGACCTAGTTTAAAAATCACTAAAAATTTGAATTTTTAAAACTTTGCCTAGAAACTAGAATATATACCCAACATAGATAATATTTACAAAATAAATTAACATAGGAAACAAAACTTGATGTGTGAAACTTGGTGTGCTTGAGTGATTGCTTGCTCGTTGAACTTATGGTGGTATATTTTTGCATACTCATGCATTTAAATTTAAATTCAAATCATATAAACATATGCATATATATAATCAGGAAAATAGAAAAGGGAAAGGAAAATAGAAAAACCACTTGGACTCAATCTCCCTCTCCCTCTCACTCGGTCCGCAGCAGCAGCCCATCTCCTCCTCTTCTCCCTCCCCCTCTCCCCTTCTCTTCTTCCGCGTGGGCCGGCCCACCAGCGCCTGGCCCAGCCGCACCGCGCCCCTCCCTTCTCCCTCTCCCTCGCTGACACCCGGGTCCCACTCGTCAGCTTCGTCGTCCACCTTGTGGCCGGTCGGCAGCCGTACGCGGCACAGCCGCGCGTCAACGCCCCGGCGGCTCCACCTAGGTGCCAGCGGAGGTAAACGGCGACACAACGCGACCATGGAACCCCATGGCGCCCCTTTTCTCCTCCTCTCCCCTCTCATCCCTCACTGTGAACTCATCAACGCCAACGCCATGGTCGCCACCGCGCTGAGCTGCCGGAGTAGCCGCCAAGGCACTTCAACGTGCGCGTGGGCAAACTCCAGCTGTGGCGAAGTGACCCGACGAGGTCAACTGGGAGCGCACATGGTGGATAAGAACGGCCGGGGAAAATATCTCGCCGCCGGGACACCGACCTAGCCGGCCTATAAATAGGCCCGGCCGGCGATGCTCTCGCCTCGTTCTCTCCACCATCCGCTCTGCCGAGGGCGGGAACACACCATCTCCCCCTCCATTCCACTTCTCCCCTCTTCCTCTCCGCTCTCTTCCGATTTTCCCCGATTCGGGAGTTCACCGGCGCCATCAGCGCCACCCCCCCCTTTTTCTTCTCCGCTGCTTCCTTGCTCGATTGGAGTGACCGGTGAGTCCCCGAGCTTCTCCTCTTCCTTTTGCCGTTGCTAGCTAATAGTCTGGGCCTCTGTGATGTGTTGTCCACGTGCACCGTGCGAGCCGCCATGGCCACCGGCTAGCCGTCGGCGAGGCTTGGTTGGTCCTCACACCACCTCCACTGCACTCCCTACACCCCCGCGCACACGCACATGTAGTTGATTAGGTAGTATAGGTTAGTTAGGAGCCCCTTCACCACTTGCCACCAACGCACCGGCTTCGGTGAGCCACCGCCACCGCCTCGGGCACTCACTGCAGCCGATGACCCCACCACCGACCGCGAGAGCCTCCCCGAGCACCGTCCACCCCTTTGACACCTCCCCCGGGGCCCAACGCCGTCGGCGTGGCTCACTCCGATGAGCCCGAGCCCCTCTCCCCTATTCCGGTTAGGTGCCAGTGGACTCTGTCCGGCCGCCGTCCCCCTCCTCTTCTCTCTCTCTCTCTCTTCACAGGGACTGGGCGAAAGAAGCGTCATTGTTGTTGTCTGTCTGTCAGTCTGCCTCCTACCTCCCTTTCTTCTTCTTCTCTCGACGTGGGCCCATGGCTATAACGTCACGCCATTGTCTCTCACTGGACGTAGGCAGGGTGGCCCACCTATCATACATACACACACACCATGCACAACGCTGGGTACACAGTGGAAATTGCTAGGTGCACCCGGCTAGTGTACACAAAGTGTTAAAAACCTATTTTCCTAACTTAGAAAAATTCCTAGAAAATTTGTAAATAAACTAGATGCATTAGGAAATTTAATCATATAGTTTGCACATATTTTAATGCACCATAAAATACATATAAAATTCCACCTAGTAAAATAGCTATAGAATAAGCTTATAAAATTTATAACTTTTAAACTCTAACTCCTTTTCACATGAAACCACCTCTAAAATTCATCTAAAATCCAACCCTATCATTTGCACCTAGTACCACCATATTGTTCTATGTTTGCTTTGGCCTTTTCTTTTGTGGTTAGCGGTAGTCTTATTTCGATCGATACGCCCGACAGACGACGGTAATCGTCAGGAGGACGAGGACCCAAATTTCGTAGACGTGCTGGAAGATGACAATGACGAAGACAAGTCCTAGCTCCCCTCCCTACCATCTTGCTTTAGAACCACTGAAATGCTAAAACATGACTATAAGATTATTACCCTAGAATATGAGCTCGGTCATTGTGATATGATTATTGTTGAATTAAGATAAATGGTTATCTTGTTATTTTATGAGCTCCACACCATGAATAGATTTAGGGATAATAATGGAACCTAAAATTTGCTAAACCTAAACCTAAACCCCGACATGGGGCGAGTGGTGGTAAACTATGGAGATAGTTTACCATGGCAGGGATGCCTGGAGAGGATTCCTGTGGGAGATACTCGTCTCAATCACATAAGGACCGGTTCGTAATCCCTCTCGCCTAGTGAGTTATTATGTACAACCACATGTCTATATGGGTAGACTTGATCTCACACCCCATTAGATAGAAGTATAATTTCTACTAGAAGACCGGTGTAGGCAGCGGAATATCAGGAGCTGACACAGGGGATAGGTTTTCTTCCGTGGTTCGGTTGGCGTGGATGCTATGTGATCTTCCACGTTAAGCTTTTGGTTTTTGGCCACGTTCGAGCCCTTGATTTTCTGGGCCATGTTTGAGCCATGTTTTCTTTTGTGATGATTTGGTATCATCACGTTGGGGGGATTTGGTATCTTCCCAGTTTTGTGTTTCCAACCCCTGAGAAGCCATAGTAGAGTTATATGGACATCTAAGGTCGCGTACATTCAGGTACGAGGTCTCGTTAGGTCCATTTTGTCCACTGATCATGGATGAGGTTGCATCTATCGTGTGGGGAAATTTGTACACCTTTGCAGAGTGACTTAAACCTATTCGAATAGCCACATCCTTAGAATGGGCAAATGCTAGGACGGGATACTATGATTAGTTTTACTTTTATGTGTAATGAAACTGGTAATGGAATTAATGCTAATCCGAGTACTAGTGGGAATGGTAATACTCCGCTAGGGCCCAACTGAAAGGTCCTTGTTTGGTTTTGGTAATTGAGTGACAACCTAGGTGGACTAATGTGTTTAAATATGAGATACACAGGTGATTAGTCCATAGGTACACTTGTGTAAGCAACTCATGCCATGACGGTGAAGATAACTTGAATTTGTTGCAAGGCTCACACATGTGATGAAAGAGCTCATTGCATATGGGGCATGGCATTGAGTCATGTGACTAAGGTGGAAAAGATCAAGACAAGACTTGGCTTGATGGACCGGTTGCAAGCGTGAAGGGCAAGTTGGAGGCTTTGGAGCGATGGACCGCATGGCGGTGAAGCTTGAGCAAGACTTGGCGCCGATGGACGGAGGCAACGGTGAAAAGCAAGTGAGGTCAAGATCGATGAACCAACAAGGTCACATGATGATATGAAGTGGATCATATCATTTATTGATCAAGGTTGGTGCATGTGTTGCATCAACATTAGAGGAGATGGAATAGAATGCGGAAGACAAAGGTATAACCTATAGGACATTTTATTTCACCGGTCATAGGTGAGTAGAGAAGTTTATGACCGGGTTTAGGATAGATGGCCGTACTATCAAGAGGGGCAAACTTATTTGCATATCGATCATCTATGCCACTCGAGTGATCTAACTTTGCATTGTTGCTAGAATCGAGTGGCGTGGCAAGTTGAGTGGCTAACTCCTTAAAAATGTTTGTGAAAAGCTAACACACATACACATGGTGGTGTACACTCGGTGGTGTTGACACATTTGCAATGGAGAAAGAACTTGGAGTTGAAGTGGATCAACTCGGCGAAGAAACAGAGGTGAAAACAGGTCACTGGAGGTGACCAAACGCAGGCCTCGCTTGGACCTATGCGTCCGATCATGAGTTCCAGAGAGGACGTGGTCTCGGTCTTGTGATCGGACACTGGTGCAAGCGCAAAGGGGTGACCTGACGCGATAGGCTGCGTCCGATGGGTGGTGACGTACGCTGACGTCTTAGCGCGAGGAGTGGTAGTGATGCGTGGTAGGCGAAAAAGGACCGAACGTAGGCACTGAGTCTGGTCATGGCTCACCTGATGCGTCCGGCCGTGTTTCTGCCTCCTCGGGAGCTCTTGGAAACGATCGAACACTGGCAGCAGCGCGTCCGGTCATCGGTTTGGTGGTGAGCGTGTGCACGGGACCTGATGCGGTGTGGGTGTGTCCCATCAGCCTCTGGTGCATCCGGTCCTCACTTGACTATTGGCGCGTGAAGTTACCATTGAGATCGGGCGGCTCCGGTTGAACGTAGAGCGACACGTGGATGGCGTAGCGTGATC